TTATTTTAATTGTTGTTTTGTGGTTCTAGTCTATGTGTGACTTTGGTGGTTTATATTGGCTGGGCAGGATTTATTCCCACTAGTGAGTGGTATTGCTGGGTCTCACCCGTGTGCATGTCCTTTGTAGGTATAGGTTCTTATGTGTTCCCTTACTAGAATTAGGGGGGCGGGGGGTAGAAGAACAGGTCCTTTTCCTGATACTAGTTGACAAATGTTAGGTGGTCAGGGTCCCTTCACAGCCCTTATAGGGCCCTGGGTTCCTTCCAGGTTGGAACTAGCAGTTATTGTTGTCTCTGGAATCAGGACAGGATGTCTTTGTATTTGCCATGGAAGAATGCTATCCAATGGACAGGATAGGCCTGCTGTGTGTGCACAAATTGGCATCTCAGTAAGTGATAGGGTATCGAGGTATTTCCGTGCAAGTACAGATGACCTGCAGGAGTTGTTTGGGTTTGTAATGTGTGATGCTGCATCCAGGTGGACAATAGATGTGGGCGCTAACATCTTCTGCTCTTCATTTAGCAAAAGTGAAGATGGCACCTGTCAGGATGTGACATTATTGATAAGGTGATGTATCTGTCTAGCTGATTACCAGAATTTAGGTGCAAGGAGCATTTTCACCAGTGACTGGGTTGGGTGCTATGTGTACACCACCAGTTATTGGATGGTTGGGATGAGGGACACTGGTCACTGGGTGGGTGGCACAGAGACTCACACTACCAGTCTCTGATGGGTGGTGTGGCAGGGGCAAGGGAAGGTGAGTCTTGCACCTGTAGTCTTTGGACTGGTGGTAGAAGTGAATGCCAGTATTATTGGGTGGGCAGGGTGGCTCAGAATAGGGTAGAATGGGTATGTGTCTGCGGTTGCAGGTCTAATGTCTTGGCAAGGTGTATCATGGATCGCTGGCTGGGTAGGATGACATACGGATGGGCAGAGTGGGCATGAGCCTCAGGTTTCAGGTCTGATGGCATGGGAGTACCTGCAGCAAATTGTGGGGGTGGGTGAGAGGCGAGAGAAGAAAAAGAGAAAAAGGGAAGGGAGTGAATGTGGAGTATGTTCCCTTAGTCTCTGACATAGGCACTAAGACACCCTCCACAGAGTTCAGCTGTGATCAGGACCCAACCTTGATCAAATATGAAGAAGGGGTCTGCCCAGACAGGTAGGGAATCTCTAGTTACCACTCCAAGGATTCCCCACTCCACCAAGTCCACCTGCCCAAATGATCATGGACCATGATCTGTTGAGTAGTTCTTTCCCTATTTTCTGGCTCTCTCCCTTCTCTATGGTCACTGGATCCCTAGGACTTTCACCTGCCTTCCTGTATATTCCCTCCTTAGATCCAGTTCATGTTCTGCTCACCTTGTTTTGCTCTGGGTTTGTCTACACAGTATCTTTGTCTCCTGTTGCCTTCCTGAGCTCCTTGCCCAAGAATGCTGCTCTCTTTGTCTCAAAATGGCCATGCTGTGCTGGGTCAGCTGGTAGGGTACCTAGAGTCTGTGCATCACCTCTTTCATTGTTTTCATTTAACTTCTTCCTCCCTCAGTGTTTGATCGCATTCTTCATCCTTCTGTTTGCTGTTCTGGGTTTCTAAATTGTCATCTGATCTGTTTTACTTGATTTCCTGGTTCTTTACTGTAGGGGGATGGCATGCTGTGTGTGACTAAGTCACCCTTTTGGGTCATCTCCTCTCTAGTGGGTTTTCATTGTCCTTAGGATAAAGTCAAAGATCATTAGTAGGAGTTTACAAAGAAAGTCCTTCATGAACCAGTTCCTGTTGACTTTAGCCCAATTCTCTACCACTACCCCTTCACTTGGCTAAAGACATCCTTGGTGACTTTCAGTTCTTCCAGCTAGCTATCAGACTTACTCTTGCTATAAGGCCTTTGCATATGCTTATCCTTTTGCCTGGAGTTTTTTCTTTCTTTCCTTTTCCTTTTGCTTGGCAACACCTTCCTCTTTCGCTAGAAACAGGTACCACGTAGACAGCTGGATTTAGCTAGAGTTAGGGTCTTGCCATAGGACCTTAGTGGCTCAGTAGTAGACTTTTTGCCTTTCATGTGAGAGACCTGGATTTGATTCTCAGCTGATAGACCTCATGAGTAGCTACCACCCACTTGTAAGTGGAGATTTGTGTATTGCTATGATGCTGAACAAGTGAAATTTCCAGACTATAGTGGACTAGGAATATTCCAGACTAGGAATAAAGGTCTGACAATCTGCTTCTGAAAATCAGCCAATGAAAACTCTGTGGATCACAATGGTCCATAACCAGGTAACATTTTATTCTGTTGTGCACAGGTTTGCCCTGAGTCATAAATCAACTCTATCAGCTAACAACAGGAACAGCAACACCAACACTATAGAGTTAGGGAAAGAAGAAAGAGTAGGGGATATCTATAATTAAGTGTGTTATGGGGGTTCATGGAATCCAAATTGGGTAAAGAAGGAAGGGAGAACAGGAAAGGGTGATTGTCAGTGAAGAGGGTGATGGATGGTTTCTGTTTAGGAAGCTTCAGGGAACTCATTCCTGGATTCCTAAGTATCAGCTTCACCTCTACCTTCTCCAGTATCCCCAGTTTGCCACTGGTTTAACAGTTAACTGGCCTCTTCACTCGAATATAAGCTCCATGACTGCAGATACATTTCCAGCATATAGCTTATTGTTGTTAAGGGCTGTTGAGTCAGTTCTGACTCATAGTGACCCTGTATAAGGTTTCTGAGGAATGGTTGGTGGATTTGAACTGCAGACCTTGCAGTTCAAACCGACTTTGTTATCCAATATTTTGTCCCATTATGCCATACCGGGATTCTAGCACATACCTTGGGGCCTGTCATATAAAGCGAACAATAAATATTTGCCAACTTGAATTCTAGATGTCGGGCAGTTCTGGGTGATGACAAGGTCTGGGTGTGGTCCTGTGAGTGGGTAGCCAAATGGAGAGGAAGAGGAAGTCCCAAGAGATGAGGAGGTCATGGAATGAAAAGGATTGGGTGACTCACAGTTGAGTTATAGGAAAATATGGAGAAGACCCTGAGTCATATGCTCAAGTCTTTAATGAATGAGAAGTAGATGAGAGCGGTGGAGGCCAAGGCAGATGACGGAAGGGAATGGTGGCAGGGGCTGAAGGCAATTAGAAACTTTTCAAGAAAGTGGAGATGAAGAGATCTGAGAGTGGTAGTCATAACAGTGTGGGGAGGAGAATGTGTGGGAAGGAACTATGCATAAGGAAGTGTGTGGGACTAGATGACTGAAGGATTTCTTAGAGTATTAGTCCCAGTCTCCTCTGGAGGTGGTGTTTGGTCTCTGCCTTTCTCAGAGTGGCTCAGGACTTGAGACCTTCTGGGGGCAGCACCTGTGGAGACGCCTGTGATGGGGGTTGGTTCCCAGAACATACTCACCATCATATAGAGTCAATGGGGATCTGGAATCTCAAGGAGAGTTGACCAGGATGGTCCCTTGCCTAGTATTAGGAGCTACTTGATCTGAGAAGTGTAGGGCCATCTGGTTCTGAGTCCTATTGTCCCAGATTGAGTGATCAGTGTTCTGGTCTGGATTGGAGGTGGAAACTGGTCTTGTTTTCAGGGGTCAGGAGATGTTATTGACACCTTATATAGGTCCCCTGTACTGAGTCAATGTGCCATTTTTCAGCTTCTGGGAATATTTGTTATTTATTGCTAATGTTGTTGTTGTTAAGTACCATGGAGTCGGTTTTGACTCATAGCGACCCTGCACAGGGTTTACGAGGCTGTAAATCTTTACAGGAGCAGAAAGCCTCATCTTTCTCCCGCAGAACAGCTGGTAGTTTCGAACTGCCAACCTTGGGGTTAGCTGCACGATTCGTAATCACTATGCTACCAGAGTTCCTTATTTCTAATAAGTGCCCCAAATTGACCTTGACTGAGTTGGGACCACTACTTCTTCTTGCCACTCCCCTGACTCTGGAGTGTCCTGGCTGATATGGGTGTTCCAAAGCCTGATTCCCTTGCCTCCAGGAGGAGATAGCTCTGTGATAGGGTTAATGATTCATGCTTCCTACCCTCATAGGGGTCAGGCCAAGGCTAACTTTGGTCTGAGTTCATGTTTTAGTTATCTAGTTCTGCTATAACAGAAATACCACAAGTGGGTAGTGGGTGGTTTTTAACAAATATATTTATTTTCTCACAGTTTGGGATGCTAGAAGTCCTAATTCAGGATGCTGGCTCTAGGGGAAGGTTTTCTCTCTTTGTTGGTTATGGAGGAAGGTCTTTGTTCTTCTGAGCTTTTGCTGCTGGGCAGTCTTCATGCGGCTTGGTATGTGTCTTCTTCTGCCTCTGCTTCTACTTCCTTCTCTTGCTTGTTTAATCTCTTTTATATCTCAAAAGAGATTGATTTAAGACATTTGTATGTATACTGATCTGGTCTCATTAGCATAACAAATACAACCCATTCCCAAATGGAATTATAACCACAGATACATTGTTTGTTGTAGCTAAGTGCCATCTAGGCAGTTCTGACTCATGGTGGCCCTTTGAAAACTCTATTGCTGTGAGTTGCAACCGACTGGATGCCATATAACAACAACATAGGGTTTCTGAGGAGCAGCTGGCAGGTTTGAATCACTGACTTATGGTTAGCAGTTCAGTGCTTATCCTACAGTACTACACTAGGACTCCATCCGCAGACACAAAGGTTAGAATTTACAACACATTTTTGGGGGGACACAGTTCAATCCTTAACAGTCCACATTCATGCTCCCATTCTACTTTTCTTGTCACTTCATTACCACCTAATTCCTGCCTCAGGCTCTGCTCCTAGGGAACCTGACCTCAGACAAGGGAGACTCTCTGATCTTGTCCCATCACCGGGGGGTAGTGATGGAGGCTATGAATGGACCAATGGGGACACAGTCCTGGACAGACTCAGCAGACCTGGGTCAAGCCTCCCTGCATGGCACTGGAAGGTCTCTAGGCTTAAATCCCCTCATCTGTAAATGAAACTGTTGGGCTGGATTTAGTGGTTAACAAAGAAAAAAACAAACAAAAATCTTGCTAACCAATCTGTGCTAGGTGTGGTAGAGGATTCCAATACACAGGACAAATTCCTTCCCCCAAGCAGCTCATGCCTCATTTACTCATTTACAAACATATATTGGTGGCAGCTGGGACTTGCATGACTCAGCAGTCCTTGACATGGAAGGGCTCACAGAGCATGAGGAGACACAGGGAGACTGACCATTCTGGTCCTGGAGAATGACAGAGACACAGTTTGGGTGGCTCACAGGAGAAGGTGACTTAGGTTGTTCTTGAGGGTCCAGAGGTGCACAGAGGAGGGAAGGACATTCCAGGGAGAGGGAACAACTTGCATGAAGGTAGAAACCTGACACAGCATGTTGTGTTTGAGGGACCATGAACCTTTTGGTGTTATTGGTGGGTTTAAAAGGAGGGAAGAGGAGGTGGATAGGTCAGCGGGGGCTGGGTTGAGGTCAGTGGGGAGGGAGTTCAAGCAGGAGGAATGGCACAGTCAGATTATAGAAAGATCACTCTGGACCCTGTAGTGGAAAGCAGATGGGAGCGGTTCAGTGAGAGGCAGTAAGGCTGTGGAGTGGGGACGGAGGGATTGACTGGTGATTGGGAACCTGTGGTGTTTGGTGTTGTGTTGTAGGGTGTTAGAGGCTGAGAGAGAGCTGGTGCTGAGTATGGTATATCAGTTCTTGGTCTGGGCAACTGGGTAGATGGTGTTACTGTTCATGGTGGGGAAGACAGTGAATTCAGTATGGGCATTGTTGAATGTGAGTTGCCTGTTGGCCTTCTGAGATCTGCTATGTACTAGGTGTTGAACTCTGGGACTTGGAGGCAGGTCTTGGTTGGGGGGATGGTTTTGGAAGTTTCCAGGAGTTATTTGGTAGATGGGGAGGATGAAGTTAGTTGGGGAGTGTACTTCTGATGAAAAGAATGGAAAACCCTACAGACTTGATGGCCCCAAAAGAACCTTTTAGCTGACTCTTATTGAACTCCTGTCCTGTGGGGATGTGCTCATAGTGATTTTCAGCACCCCCATCCTTTCTCCTCCCATTCTTGGAGGGACTTCCTTTCTTGGGATGTGTGCCAAGCAGGTTAGGGAGTCAGGATGAGGGCAATAGAGGCCTCCTGACTCATGCCAGGCCCAGGAGCTCTTGGGATATACCTCCTCTTACTTCAGCAAGCTACATGCAGAGCCCAGAGCCTGTGGAGCTGCCCTTATTTTTGGGCACTCCACAGCACATCCTGGACATACTCTGTGTCTGAAGGGAGCGATAGGTGAACCTGGATCAGAGATCCTGGATCCCAGTTGCTCATCGAGTGACTTTGCCTTTCATCGTGAATCCCCTTTCCACTCAGTCTGCAGAGTACTGGGAAATTCATATTTATTCAAGGTTTGACATATCTTATTGCCATATACAAAATCCCCACCTGCCAGCCAGCTGTCTTTCCATCAACACCCCTCCCATGAAGGCTCGGAACCCAGAGACTCAACTGCCCCAGGGACTGGCCCTGGATGGACTTCTTGAGGTCCCATAGCCACCTTCCTGGCCTGTTCTGTTACAGAAAAGATGCTAACGCCCTTGCCCATTTTCCTGGATGGCCTGAAGGCCGACTTGAGGGAACTGGTCCTCCTATACTCTGGCCTTGGGGGTTATGTATACCCACCTGTATCCATTGGTGTCAACTCAGACTTTATTAGGACAGAGGTCCCATCTTGGGGGTGCCCTTTCTGGGAAAGGATATATGGTGGACAAGTGTCCAGTAGATGACCCCGATGCTGAGACCGGCACCTGGGGCTCATGGTCTCCACACACCTCTTGCCCACCAGATAGGTGACCTCACAGAGATTAAGCAGGATGCATAGGATTGATGTGGCCACCATGAAGTAGGAGAAGACCCTCTTCTCTGTGGGTCGGGAGATGTAACAGTCCACAGTATGGGGGCATGGATCCACAGAGCAGGCCACCACCCGGGGCATGTCATAATTCTTATAGAGGCGATGGAAGATGTAAAGGAAGCTGGCATCGACAGAGGCTTTGAAGATGAGACTCAGCAAGTATGTCCACCACAGCCCGCCCCGCTTCTTGCCTGCATTGTCATACAGGGATGGGACGTCGGGCCCGTTCTTCAGGCGGTGGCGTCGTTCACGCTCCTCACGATAGGCCACATGCATCATCACCAGCAGTGAGGGGCAGGTGACGAGGATGAGCTGCAGGGCCCACAGGCGCACGTGAGACACAGGGAAGAACTCATCGTAGCAAACATTGGGGCAGCCAGGCTGCCTGGTGTTGCAGATAAAGTCTTTCTGCTCATCATCCCACACATCCTCGGCAGCCACCACGTACACCAGCACACGGAAGATGAACACCACAGACAGCCATATACGGCTCAGCGCTGTAGAATACTTGTTCACACCAGTCAGGAGTTTCTGCAAACCCCCCCAGTTCATGCTGACAGTGTCCCTGTTCCCTTATGTGAGCAGGTCTATTTCTCTGTGACACCCACTCAGACCTTGGGGGCCACTAACCCCAGGAAGACTCCTTATCGATGGTGCAATTGATAAAACCCTTTCACAGCCACTGTGTCCTTGAATCCTCACTCATGGCGGTTTGGAGGGGTAGGGATTGCCTTAATTCCAATTTCACATGGGAGTAAACAAAGGCACAGAGAGGGGAAGGTGTAGTGGAGATGTTCTTCAGCGTCAGTCTTCCAGTCTCAAAATCAGGGTCTCTTATCCTATAAATAGATAAATATGAATGATAGTAACCCAGTATGGACATGTCAATAGACATTTTATACCCCAAGTTTCAGCCCTACTAGTATCATTAGAGGCAAGGATTGGGTGATCTGCTCTTCCATTAGGGATGGGCTGCATCAGGAGGGGAGGGAAGCACATTCTTATCAGTTGTCAGATTTGTCCAACTCTTTCTTGAGCACCAACAAGAGCCAGATTCTGTCTGGGCTTGTTCATATCAGTCTCTTTGGTAGATCATGGAACATTCTCCATCCTCACTGTCTCTGGGCCAGGGACATCCCCACCCTTGAAGTTCCCTCCACACCAAACTGAAGGCTCTTTGCAATGACGCAGTTTGACAACCACTTCACCCCTGCCTTTCCTGTTTCAGAGCTGGGGCCCCAGGGACTGTCCTGACCACAATGGGTTTTTCTGAAATTTCATCCATTCCAGCTTTAGGGAGGGACTAGAGAAGAGGCAGAGGAGGGGCTGCCCTCCCTACAACTTTATTTTCTCTCTCGGGAAGCCCCTCTTACTCTGCTCAGTGGCAGTTTTCTGAGCCTTCCATTGTCTATTTGTTCCCTGTCCTGGGTGCTCCATTCTGTACCCTCTATCCGGAGTCCATCCCCACTCTGTCCCTGCCTTAGCCTAGGGCTTCTAAAGCTCGTTCTAACATTGGCCTCTGGAAAGCCTTCTCTGTCCTGACCCTGAGCACCTGTGGCAGAATACCTCACCGGTACTCAAATGGTCTGTTTACCTGACTTCTGAACAAATGTTAGCTGGACACACGCTCCATCACATTCATCTTTACATCCCCAGGATCCAGCCCCCAAACTGACCAGTGAATACATAATATACGTGTAATCAACAGAACTGAAATACCATTTCTACCTGATCCCGCCACCTCCTTGTCTGGTTCTTTGCCCTCCCTTTGATCTAATGAGACAAGAAGCGTTTCTCCTGGGGCTTTTCTGGGGACCTTGGCCCACTGCCCCTCTAACCACCTCCCGGAAGCAAGCCTATAGCCCAACAGCCCCTGGGCATTGTCAGCCTGACTGACCCCTGCTTCCCAGCCCAATATCCCTCCCATTCTTGGTCCTCACCCTTCTTGGGGTCTGCAGCTCTCCTGTCCCTGGGTTTGTCCATCTGCCCGAAGGCTTCCTGAAGGTGACTTTTGTTCTTCACTCCTTTGCTGGGTGGGGCTTTCTGAGCCAATGAGCCAAGAGAGAGTGAGCGGAGGGCAGGCAGGTGGACTTTCCTGGGCATAGATTCAGAGCAAACACCTGAGGCCCTTCCAGCCTGGCCCACACCCCTTTCCAGTCTGGTTGGGCATGGCTGGGCATGGCTTCCTGGGTCGGTAGATGTGTAGGTGAGACTTCAGTGAAGGGGACACCCAGGCCCAGGTCAGCACCACTGAGACTGTCCACCCCCTTCCAGCTTGCTTTATTGCCCTCGTTACCCAGATCTCTCCTCCTGAAAGCTGAAATTTGACAATTTATGAAAGGGGGCAACTTTGGGTCCCCACCTTGGTGGGGACATTTTTGGTGACCTCTAGTTTCTGTTGAAACTGGGCTGCTTTGGGGGAATTGAGCAGCAAACTCTGACTTTTTGAGATCAGGGCTTCTGCTACCTTAGTGGAGAAAAGGAATACAGACAACAACACAAAATGCGTCAGTTGGCACAGGGTGGAGAAGAGCCTCAGGGCCTTTGCCTTGGGCCCTGACTCTCTGAGACCCTCAAAAGGGTTTCAGGGATGCCGAGTGTGTTTCAGCAAGGACTACAGAGGGACCTTGCACTTGTCCCACTCTTACGACTGCGAAGGCCCCTCTGCCTTATTTCTCACAGGCATTTATTGAATGCTTCCTAATACCAGTGATTAACACTTATGTGGCCCTTCCACACCCATGAGCTCATCCTGGCTACACAAGCAGCCCATGGGGTAGGTATAGTAATCCCGCTTATGAGAGAAGTTAAAAGCACATTCCTGGAGTCCCAGTGGAAGTTGGGTAGGAATTAGATGTCTGACTCCGAGACTCTATGCTTTCCCTGAAACCCACAGACTAAGCTCCATTCTCTTTTGAGTTGGCAGTTCAAAGCCACCAGCTGCTTCTTGGAAACCCTATACAGGGTTGCTATGAGTTGGCATCGAATTGTCGGCGCTTAACAACAACAACAACAACGGACCTAAAACTACACCTGGGGAGAAAGGTTAATGTGAGTATGTGCATGTAGCATGGTCCCTAGGAGTGCTGGGGTCTCCTTTACTGAAGGACAGGATGGCTCCTCATCTGCCTGGATCAAGCTCATCCCTTTTCAGGGTCAGAGGGATTGACACTATAACCCAATAAAGGTCACAGATGTCAGTAGAACAAGGACACCTTGAGTGAGTGAATGGATTGGCTTTTATTAATCTCTGACCACACACATGGAAGGCTCTGGCATGTATGTTCTCTTATTTAATGCCCCTCACAAAAGCCCTGTGAGGTGGGTATCAGTATGTCCATTTTACAAGAAAGAAACTGAGGTGTAGAGCAGAGGAGTAATTTATCCATGGGCACACAGCTGGGGCAAGTGGGTGGAGTGGAGGAATAGGGGTTTGATCCAGGCCATGTGACTTCTCCCTCTCACCTGCCCCCATCATTCAGGCTACACCCCTTTAGTGCATTCACTGATGGCTGTCCCATTGCTGCAGACAGGGATGCAGCTGCCCTTCCAGTCCCAGCCCTGACTGGTCAGTACAGTCCAGGCAGCCCCTCACAGTATGGTTTTCTTCACGTGGTCCCGAGGGCGGTCTGATAAGAGAGGAGGGTAAGTGTCTGAACCCAGAAAGATGAGGTCACCCGAGAGGAGGTCATTCTGCTTGCAGGAAGAAGTGACAGGGTCTGGGTGATGCTCCATGCATGGGGCCCGGGCTCTCCTGGCTGCCAGACACTCGTGGCATCTCTTGCTAACGAGGTACCCAAGCTCTACAAGGTTGAGTAGGATGCAGATGATGGCTGTGACCACCATAAAGAGTGTGAAGATGTTCTTCTCTGAGGGTTTGGAGATAAAGCAGTCCACAGTGTTGGGACATGGAGCCACATGGCACTTGACAACAGGAGGGAGGGTATACTTGGGGTAGAATGAATGGAACACATAGAGGAAGGTGACATCCACACCAGCCTTGAATACCAGGCTGCAGACATATGTCCACCAAAGCCCACCCCTCTTCTTGCCAGGGTCCAAGTAAAGGCGACTGCCCTCCCCCGCTACCTCTCGGTGCTTCTTTTCCCGAGCCTCTCGGTAGGCCACGTGCATAACCACCAGCAGTGAGGGGCACGTGACCATGATGAGCTGTAGGGCCCAGAGGCGCACATGTGACACAGGGAAGAACTGATCGAAGCAGACGTTGGAGCATCCAGGCTGACGGGTGTTGCAGTCAAAATCCTTGTGATCATCACTCCACACACGCTCAGCAGTCACCAAGTACACCAGGACACGGAAGATGAAGACCAGAGAGAGCCAGATGCGCCCAAAGGCTGTGGAGTACTTGTTGACCCCACTCAGGAGTCCCTCGAAGATCCCCCAGTTCATGGTGGGCCCAAGTGCTTACTTCCGCTGCAGGAAAATGAAAATAGTCATCGCTTACATTTATTTTGTTCTTATGAGGCTTTCTGCTCTCATAAAGATTTACAGCCTCAGAACCCTATACAGGGCCACCATGAGTCGTAACCAACTTGATGGCACTTAACAACAACAACACAAATATAGAATGCTCACTCTGAGCACTTTACGGGACTGTAGCATCCAATGGAATCCTCATAACCACCCTAGGAATTAGGTTCTATACTTGCCTTCATTTTACAGATGAGGAAACGGAGGTTCAAGTGGGGTATACAAGGGTACACAACCATCAGGTGCTGAGTTATGATTTGAATACAGATAATTTACATCTAGAACCCAACTCTTAGCCATAAAATTGGGTCAGGGTGGGGCCAGGGAGCTACCCAGTCCTCTTGGGTATGCCTGCATAGTGACAGTTGGTGGAGGTGAACACTCTGCCTTTTCCTTCTTTCCCAAGTTTGGTCTCCTCAGGAAGCTGAGTCTTGGAAAGATGTTTTCTCCCCTCAATAAGCACTATTCTTTCCACTTATAAAACCCTGTCCACAGGGTCTGGGAGAAATGTGGTGATCTGCTCCCATAACTGTCACAGCCTTAGAAATCCTATGGGGCAGTCGACCTTGTCCTATATAGGGTTGTTCTGAGTTGAGATCCACTCAGCAGCATCGGGTTTAGTTATTTTAGTCCTGTTTAAGTGCAACTTACTTGAGATAAGGCCAATGGCAACCAACTGAAGGATAATATTAGGAGCAACCTTTTTATACAGTAAACTTTCTTGCTCTGCAAGATAGTTTGGTCATAGGAACAGTGAAAAGATTCTGTGTCCGAGAAAATAAGCAAACCGTGGATTCAGCAAAGTGACATTGGTCCCTTTCCAAAAGAAGGATAGAAGATATAGCACGGCCCAAACTCCACTGGCCACATCTCCCTTTCTCATCCTGTGGGACAACAACATGAGAAATGCTGATTCTCCCAGTTCTCCTGGGAACTTTGGCATTATGGGCATGTAGGAATCAGATTGAAACCTCTCTTCAGGGAAGACAGCCACTGTGCAGAGAGAGGGGTGCCAGTTTCCTCATCTAGGCTCCTCTACCTAGTGACTGGGGGCCCGGCAGTCTCACCCCGTTGTACACCCCAATTCTGTCTTCAAGGAGTACATAAAGTCCTTGCAACAGCTGATGGCCACCATACTGTCCTGACCCTCATGTAATCTATTGCAGGTGGACAGGGTTATAACCATGGCCAACATTTATAGGTACTTACACTGTGCCAGCATAGTGGTTACGAATCAGGCTGCTAACCTCAAGGTCGGCAGTTCGAAACTACCAGCCATTCCGTGGGAGAAAGATAGGCTTTGTGCTCCCGTAAAGATTAACAGCCTCGGAAACCCTGTGCAGGGTCACTGTGAGTCGCAACCGACTCCACGGTACTTAACAACATCAACACTGTGCCAGACACTGCTTTAAGCACTTTGCATGAATCAATATATTTCTCTCTCATAGCAGTCTTATGAAGAGGTTGTTGTTGTTGTTGTTTTGTGCTGTCGAGTCGGTTCCGACCCATAGCGACCCTGTACTGGGTTTCCGAGGGTGTAAATCTTTATGGGAGTAGAAAGCCTCATCTTTCTCCCGCGGAGGAGCTGGTAGTTTCGAACCGCTGACCTTAAGGTTTGCAGCCCAATTCGTAACCACTACGCTACCAGAGCTCCGTATTATGAAGGGTTATGATATTTTTTTATTCTCAATTTACAGATGAGAAAAATGGAGGTCAGAGAAAGTTGCTTGCAGTTACACACAGCTAGGAAACCGCAGGGCTAGGATTTTAACCCAGGTTGACTGGTTCCAGAGCCCACACCCTGGGAACTGCCTATTTTTGGGCCTGGGCCTTTTTCCTCACGCTGTCTGTCCAGTGTGTGCCCACTTCCTCCTCCGCCTCGCTGATCCAGTGTGAAGAGAGGCTGTTGTGATGTCTCTGCTGTTCCTTCGGCGTCTCTCCAGCAGTCTTGACGCTTCCGCGTCTACACCACCTACACTTGGACTTGGGGCCTCTGCTCTGAATCATCTGCTCGACTGTTCAGTCCAGCTGGCAGATTTCTTTGGGAACGCCTGGGTAGGCCCCAGCCCTCAGCCCTGGGCACTGGGCTCCACCCAAATGGGGCGGGGTGGGGCGGGTCGGAGGAGGACTATGCAGTCTCAGGCTAAGCTATTCTCCCGCTCAGCTCCTGGCCTCTCTTTGCCCCACTCCCATTCAGTCCTTAGCTTTCACCTTAGCAAAGCTGGGAGAGCAGGAGGAACCCAGAGCAGAGAGAGGGGAGACCTACGCTCCTTTGCCATTCGAACCCAGGGTGGCAGATGTACCCCTTCTCCTTCCCATTCTCCCCACCAGAAAAGTTTCTTCTCCAAGTGTTCCGATGGCAGGACACATCTGGACACAGATACCCTTACCTGAGCGGCAACTCCTCAGGGCTCTCTGGTTAAGGACCCCTGGCAGCTGACGTGGGGCTCAGCAGGCAGCTGGAATTCATGTCAGACTAGGGAGGATTTCCAGGGAAGCCTGTTCCTGGGATGGAGCCTGCCCAGCCCTCAGCAGCCTGGGTGTGCCTGGCCTGGCCCAGGAGGAGGAGCTGTGGCCAGCGCAGGCACTGCCATTGGTTTGGGCCCCCAGGCTGCCTGTGATGAGGGCCAGCAAATTTAGGCGTTTACTTCACCCAGATGCTGGGACCAGAATTCTGGTAGCCTCTCTGGGTGAGCCACAGGTCCACTCTGACCCCTGCTTCTCTTCCGATTAGGGCTTGTGGGACGTGGGAGTGTCTGGATCCTGATACAGGCGTGCTTTTGCCCAATTTCCTCTGGCTGGATGCCAGTCCCCAACCTTCCTTCCTTGCCTACAGCTGGAGCCCTACACATCTGCAACTGAAGTCCCACACCCTTGCATCAGGAACATCACACTCCTACATCTGAATCCCAATGCCTCCACATCTGGAGCTTGACTTCCTGTATCTGTTACCTCAAACTCTTACGTCTGGAGTCCTGCACCCCAACCTCTGGAGCTCCAAGCCTCCACATCTGGATCCCCAAGCCCTTGCATCTGGATCCCAATGCATTTGCACTTGGAACCTTACACCCCTTGATCAGGACTCTACAGCTGAAGCCCTACTCGCTTTCATTTGACACTTTGCATCCTGGGTTCCTGCTTTAGGCAGCTTAGGGCCAGGCTCTGGGCTTCCACTGCCCTGAGTGACCACATAGTTGTAGCTGACCAGACTGCACGGTCACAGTTAACTTAATTAAGCTTCTTCCAAGTAAGGCCTGTGTGTTGACTGAACACTTCAGTTCACATCAGTAGACATTTCTAGGGACTGTTATGAGCAGGACATAAAGCAGACCAGGAACTCACCAACTCAGCCTTGATTACCAGCTGACAAGTCTGTTTTGCTCCAAAGCTTTTGCTTAACCTCTCATGACCTCAAGAAATCGCCAAACAGAACCCCTATACCCTGATGCCTAGTTCAGTCTTCCTACCCCAACAATGCAGAGTACATGGCTGCTACACAAGGAGATGTCCTCTGCTGCACATCCCGGCTCCAACCCCTCTCAGTTCACACACCGAGTCCCTTCTCCATCCCTACACAGATAACTGTCCTTTCCCCAACACAGGGCCTGCTCCCTGCCCCAATACCAAATACACTGGTCTTTCCACCTAATGCTTGTTTGCAATGCAAGAGTCATCTCTGAGGCACCTACTATGTGCCAGGTGCTGTGTCTGGTGCTGGCCCAACAAAGACAAAGAGGAACAGAGAGGCTGGGCAGAGCTTCCAGGCCTGGGAGAGATACACTGATTAAGAATGGCTTCACAGGTGAGCACCATGGCGAAGGGCTTGTGCTGACTGAGCTCTGTCTAGAGCAGGTGCCTCCCAGTCTGGTGGGGAAGGTAGATGTGTGAACAGGCAGTGGAGCCCTGCATCTGGGCCCCATGCATCTGCATCTAAAGTCCCACATGGCTACATCTGGAACCTGGCATCGTTATATCTGGATCCCTACACCCACATCTGGAGATCCACACTGCTACATCTGAAACCTTATGCCTCTGTTTCTGGAATCCCCACCACTAATCTGGACCCTCCAAACCCTGAACCTAGAGCCCCACACCCCTACATCTGGAATCTCACACTCCTGCATCTGGAACTCTTAGCTCTGGCTTTGAAGCTCACCTTTCCTACATCTTGATCTTGGGACAATAATGTCTACATGGAGTCCCTGAAGGATTCTGTGAGACCACAGTGGGCTGCAGGCAGTGTGGTGATTGAGTACAGGGGCTGCATGGCCTGAGATCTGCTTGCTCACTGTGAAGCCTCCAGGTCTTACCTGTAAAGTGGAGAAAGTAACAGCACCTGCCTTGGAGGGTTGTTGTGTGAATAGACTGAGCTAATGAAGGCAGGATGCCTGGAGCAGCACTTGGCACAGAGAAAGCCTTTGGTGTGACTCCCTGTACTGTCTGTAAACTGCCTGGGGCAGGCCTAGCACCTGGTGGGGACTCAAAAATGTTATTTCTTCCCACTTTCCTTATTCCTACATGTTTTCTTTCTTGGCTGTGGAGAAGGAAGAGAAGGAGGGGGAGACAGACATGCCTACCAGAGAAAATCTCATTTGGATGGATGTTGCCTTTGAGTTGAGAAGGCAGAACCCTGGGCAGACAAAGACTGCATGAAGAGGTGGGAAAGGGCAGGCAAGGGCACCTGGGGAGGGTTTCTCATTAGTGCGCAGACATAGCCTGTTGGCCTAATTAACTTCCAAGATGCCCTTTATCAGCAGATCACACGGGATTGGAATTCAATGGACAGCATGGCCAGGGGCCATGGACACCACACTTCCATAAACAGCACAACACAGTCCCACATGTACACAGTGTTACACACAGCCACACTTACACAGATATGTATCCAGTGTTGCGTGCAAGTGTGTGTAGGCGCTCGT